GACAGTCCAGTTTCTCCCCGTATGTGTCCGGGTCCCCCAGAGCTTCGCCTGGCACTGGAGCTCAAAGAGGTGGGAGCTTGTAAATTCAGTTCACGGTGTTGGCCTTTTAAGATAAGGTGACCAGACGTCCCGCTTTTGGCAGGAAAGTCCCGATTTTTAACAATTTGTCCTGCGTCCCACGGCGTTTTAAAAAAGTCCCAATTTTTGGAAAGATTCTTTTAAATCTTTTGGACTTTTTTAAAACGCCGCGGGACACGGGACAAATTGTTAAAAATCGGGACTGTCCCACCAAAAGCGGGACGTCTGCTCACCTTAAGTTACACATATGTTGATATATATATGTGCTTTGATATGTATGCTATTTTGTTGTATTGACAGCAAGTTTAAAAACTTCATATGTCAAATTTTCTGAAGGTATTAACATCATAGATTTTTTATGCTTAAAAATGCCAAGTTTTGTGCCCCCCAAAAAGAGCATTTGTGAGAAATTTTAATTCATTGTTTTGAAGAAAAGTGCTGAAATTATTGTATACTTCAGGAATCTTATAATGAACATGCACCATCTCAAGATACTTGTGAACTCTGGGTTAAGCACTTTAAAAGTGATGATTTTGATATCAAAGACAAAGAACATCCAGGTCAACCCAAAAAGTTTGAAGACCAACAGTTACAAGCATTATTGGATGAAGATGTGTGTCAAACTAAAATACAACTTGCAGAAAGATAAAACATTGCTCAGCAAACAATTTCCGATCGTTTGCAAGCAATGGGAAAGATTTTAAAGGAAGGAAAATGGGTGCCACATCAACTGAACGAAAGATGAATGGAAAACTGAAAAGTCATCAGTAAAATGTTGCTTCAACGGCACGAAAGAAAGTTGTTTTTGCATCCAATTGTGACTGGCGATGAAAAGTGGACTTATTTTGAGAATCCCAAATGCACAAAATCATGGGTTGATCTAGGTCAACCATCAGCATCAACTGTAAGGCCAAATCATGTTGGAAAGAAGACAATGCTCTGCATCTGGTGGGATCAGAAAGATGTGGTGTATTATGAGCTTCTAAAACCAGGTGAAACCATTAATACTGATCGCTACCAACAACAAATACTCAATTTGAACCACACTTTGATTGTAAAATGACCAGAATGGGCCAGAAAACAAGGCAAGGTAATTTTGTTTCATGAGAACACACCATCACACACTTCAAAACCAATTAAAGACACATGAAAAGATCTTACCTGGGAAGTATTAACCCACCCGCCATATTTACCAGACCTTGCTCCTTAAAATTACCACTTGTTAAATGGCACATGCACTTTCTAAGCAGCACTTCAAAACGTACAAAGAACTGGAAAATTTGGTCTCTCATTGGTTTGCTTCAAAACAAGGAGAGTTCTATTGGGATGGTATCCACATATTACATGAAAGATGGGAGAAATGTGTAGCTAGTGGTGGCCATTACTTTAATAAAGCAATTTTGATGTTTCTCTTGAAATTATTGTGTTTTCTTTTATTACAAAATCCACATTATTAACCAGCACACCTGGTATTAGAGTTCTAATTGGGTGATATAGTTGTTCAGGTCCAAAGGGAGAACAACATTAACTGTGAGTAGCAAATCATGTTACTAGCAACATTAAGACTTCCTTGTGAGTGTCAAGCCAGGGCCTAGATGTCAGGCACTACTTTAGTCCTCCATATGAATAAAGAGCAGAGATTTGGGGAAAATGGCACAAGTACTTGGAGAGGCAGGAAGGGTTAGGTGCGGCAAGGCCTGAAAGACCATGTTATGTGAGTTGAACTTTGTCCTAAAAGCAAAGGGAAACAAGAGGGTCTGAGATTTATGCACCCCAGGGGGCCTTACAAGTTAATTTGTCGCAGATTGAGGAATGCTGTCAGAGACAGAGGACTCTGGGTGAGAGACAAAGGAGGACTGCTTGCTTTCGGCAGAGCACCATGCTTGCACTGCTTGCACCAGTTCCAAGCAGCCTGAGGGCAGTGAAGGCAGGCTTGCCTGGATGCCCACACAGCCCGAGGGCTGTGATGCGGGAGGAGAACCCTGACCTGGGGAGGTTGAGCTGTGATGGTGAGCAGAAGCAGTTCTGCTTTTCGGGGGGGGGGGGTCCCCCACACCCCTCGGGATTGCTCAGTACTCATTGAACCCAGAGTAACCTCCCAGGTGAAGCGGTGAGGGCTTTGAATTCCTGGCAGACCCAGAAGAAACAGGAGGGAACACGCAGGGACAGAGTGGGTGTCCCCTCCCAACACTGTGCTCTCCTAAAGGTCAGCATTGGAGGACTGGCCACTGCATGGGGAAAGCCAACACTGAGTCTGCCTGACACTCCATATGAACTGGAACCTACAAACACGCGATAATTCCTCCCCTGTTGGCCCCCTCATTCCCCTCCGGCTACCGACCCACCCCGTCAACCTATTAATGGATAAGGGGACTGGAACACCCCTGGGATCCTGTGACAAGGGTTGTAGAGGGCTGATGGCACTTTGATGAGCAAGAGAAGGTCACCCCACCCCAGGAGGAAGGAAGGACAGGAAGAGGCGAGGAGGATGATTCTCTGGGCTGGTGACACGGATGATGCTGAGCCTGTGTGCGCTGGTGCCCTATAAAAGCATGAAAAGGTCCCTCCCAGAGGTGGTTTTGTATGCAGATGGCGTGGGCCCTGTGCAAAGTAGACAGTACCCACAAGAGAGGCATGAACCCACCCACCAACCTCCAGGCCACCCCGGAGACAAAGCCTCCCCTGGCACTTTCTATGGGAGATGAAATGTCCAGGTATACTTAGTTGCCATGGGAACTCAGGCAGATGCCAGCGTCGGTGACCACATGTGTCTCACCAGGACCAGCTATTGCGCAGTTGGATTCAGAATGGTTTTGCTCTGAACTTGCTGCCATCTTCTGCAGATGGGTGAACACCTGGCGTGTTTGGGCTTTAGCCATGAACTGGGGCACAGTTCTTCATGGAAGCCCTCGGAGGGATTAGCCCTGTCCAATCCGGTTAGTGCATGGCTCTATCTGTCTATCTGTTGTGATGTTTGCCCCTACGCTACCTGCATAGAGTATTGAATAACTAGAATTCTGATACAATATTTGCTGCTTGTTAACTGATAACACCCTAGTCTCCTTAATGCCTTCATAAGTGAACGCTCAACATGTAATGATTGATTACACTACCAGATACATTTAAAAACTCAATCTCTATTTTACAGAAGAGACTGAAGGCTAGAGAAGTTAACTGATGGTGCACTAGAGTAGTCCCACAGGGCCAAGGTGAGAACGGGTCCTTGGATTTGTGGGTTGGCTGTTGCCTCCTTGAAATTCTGAACCTATTTCTTGAATTTGTGTTTTGTAAGAGCTACCTGATGGCACAGAGCAGCATGTGCTGGGGACCTGGAGCCTCAGCTCTCCAGTGGTCTAGACCTGCCAGCTCTCCACCTCAGGGGGATAGGTTTTCTGCTACTGGCTCACCCACCCTCCACTCACCCACACACCTCTTCCTCTTTTGTCCATGTGACTGCTGAGCTGCACTTCACCCTCTGGGGGGGCTGGTATCTTACATTTACGTTTTAATCCATTTTGAGCTTATTCTTGTATATAGTGTGAGAAGGTGGTCTAGTTTCTCTCTTTCTTTCTTTCTTTCTTTCTTTCTTTCTTTCTTTCTTTCTTTCTTTCTTTCTTTCTTTCTTTCGCATGCATCTGTCCATTTTTAACACCTTTTAGTGAATAGACTATCTTTACCCCATTATATACTCTTGTCTCCATGGCAAAATATTAATTGGCTCTCTATTCCTCTATTCAGTTTCATTAATCTATGTGTCCGTTTTTATGCCAGTCCCATGCTGTTTTGTTTTTTGTTTTTGTTTTTTTGAGAAAAGCCAGCGTAAAGCACTTTTATTGCAATAATAAAACTCAAAACTCATATGTAGTGCAGGGGAGTGGGTAGGGGGTAGGCAGCCACAATTTCTCTCACCAAATCTCTACACAGGACAGCAAAGGAGTGAGAGGAGGGAAGAAGCCAGAAAACTTTGAGCTCAGCAGGGGGAGGTGAGCATCGAAAAAACAGGAGATGCTGAAGCTGTGATGACCAACATCATTTTCTTAAGACAGCACTCAAGGATTTGTCATGATGGCTGGGCTTTCATTGGGTTTTAAGTGTCTACAAACAGCACCTTCAATTTAAACTTTCGATTAAAGTTCTTAAAATTTAGGGAGTGGAGCCTAGATAGCTATGACATTATAAAAGTCCTGAATATCTATTAGAAAAAAAAAAAAAACAAAAAAAAACACAGGATGGGGGTTGGGGGGGGGAAATCCAGGTCACGAAGAAGGCTTCAGAAGTCCCTGCTGGCCCGGGGACAGATACCTGTAGTGTCCAACATCGCAGTGAAAATGATTTGCTTTTAAAAGACAGAGGGTTTAAGGGGAGAGTGGCATGGGGCAGTGGAGGTGAGGGCTCTCCCCTCCCCACTTCAGTTTTGGGTAGGGCTCTTAATTCAACCTAAAGACATCTCTCAACTTGGAGATAGTTCAGCCCTCAACAGTGCTTCAAGTCTGCTATGGCTTTGCAGCGCAGCAGCAAGAATGTTTAATATATAATAGATAAAAATTTCATCCAAAAATAAAATAAAATAAACATTCTTGCATCCCCCACACACCAATTCCTAGTCTAAAGTTAACCCATTACTTGTGCTGTTAATACTTGACTAATACGTAATTGAAAACCTAGACCCGAAAGACTGAAACTGGATCTTCACCCCAAAACAAAAATAAAGAGTAACTTGAGGTTTATGGCATGTAGTTTAGGTCAACACACATATGAGGAGAAAGGGGAAGAGCAAAGCTGGGTGACAGAACACATTCAGTCGGGGCAGATGTTTATACAAAGTGTAGTGGAACATCAGGAAAAGCTGATGCGCGTCGGGGACTCCAGATCCCGCCATGGCACATCCAAGCACAGGGAACTCAGGGAGTAGGCCATTTCTGTCATTCCAGTTTTAGAAGTTCCACATCAAAGTCGAGAGTGGCATTTGGTGGGATGATGCCTGGGTGCCCAGGGGCACCATAGGCATAGCCTGGGGAGATAGTCAGTTTGGCTCTCTGACCCACACTCATCTGGGCAACCCCTTCTTCCCAGCCTCGGATCACCTCCCGTTTGCCTAGCATGAACTTAAAGGGCTTGTTTCTGTCCCGGGAAAAATCAAATTTCTTTCCATCTTCAAGCATCCCCGTGTAGTGCACCACACAGGTCTGGCTGCGCTTTGGGAAGGTGCACCCGTCTCCGGAGCAGATAGTCTCCACCTGCACTCCCCTGGCGTCGGCGGCGGCGGCGGCGGCGGAGGCGGCGGCGGCGGCGGCGGTGGCGGCGGTGGGCAGGCGGGCAGCGTGATGGACAGGCGTGGACCGAGAGCAGATCTGGCGATTGCGGGGCTCTTGCACTACGCCTGCGCATGCGCACCTCGCCCTGCACGCCCCCAGTACCATGCTGTTTTGATTACTATAGCCTTATAGTATACTTTCACACCAGATAGGTAAGACCTATTTTGTTTATACTTTTGGCTCCAGGCTTCAGCTTAAACTCATTTTAAGTTAACTTTTACAAATATTAATACTGGCCTTATATCCAGAAATTATGATTTCATAGTCTATATTGTGATTTTGGATTTAAAAAAAATTCTATTATTAATACTGTCAAAGTGATAAATGACAATATAATAAAGAACCCACATGTAAATCCTATCCAGCTTCAACAATGATGAGCACATCCAAGATATTCATTTCCTCCCTCTCTCCCTTCTTCCTTCCTTTCCTCCCTCCTTCTCTCCCTCCCTCCTTGCCTCCCTCCCTATAATTCTACTTTAGTAATGCAATTCATGCTATTATCATACCTAAACAATAATTAATAATTTAATATCTTCAACATTCATTGACATAAAGTTTCCCTTACTCTCTCATAAAAGCAGTTTTCATTTTGTTTTGTTCAACTCTGGATCCCATTTAGTCTCACACATTTCAATTTCTCAGTATGCATATTAATTCTCTGTAAAATTCACTCTCTTGCTCTCTTTTTTTCTTGTGAGAAATGAGTTGTTTGTTCTCCAGAGTCAGCCACATGCATACTTTTGCTTATTTTCTTGTGGGACATCATTTAACACACTTCTCTGTACTCTGTCTTCCTTGTAAATTGAGATTTAGATCTACAGTCTTCTCCTGATTCAATCTTCACATTTGGGAAAAATGTCTCAGAAATAGTGTCTCATTAGTTCATTAGGTGGCACATATTGTATGGTTGTCCTTCTTTTTGTAATGGGAGCAGATATTGGTATTCATTGCCTGGAGCACTTATGTCATTTGAGGCTAAAATTGAAGATATTTTCATTCTATTTGTCCTTCTTCATTTATTAGATGGAATTATTCAATGAGAAACTTCCCTCACTCACTACTTGGTTACCAATGTTACAGTTCATATGCCAAACACAGGATAATTGTTTCATTATTTGCTTTTGCTTACTCAATTTTAAAATAATAAATCAATTTTCTAGAATTTAATCACTGTGACCATAAGGTCATTTTTCCTTTAAAGCTGCTAGAGACCCAATAATGATGCGTTTAAATCCATTTTAGTTATTATTCTTATTGACACTCAATTTTCTACCACAGGATTCAGACTTGTAATCTGAATCCGCCTACACAGGAGCGATCACAAAGTAGGTGCTCAGTAAATGTGTGCTGAAAGTATATCAAATAACAGTGAAGCATATTGACAACATACTTGATTGTTTTATTCAATATTATTGTGCTCATCCTTCCACCAGATGTTTGAAACTGACATTATCACTTTGCTATCTTTGGTGTCATTACTACATTTTTAGACAGAAAAATCAAGACTCAATCTCCTTCATTGTATCTTTCTACTGTAATTAGGGGGATGAGTGACCGCAACTAGGCTCATGGATTTGTTTTCTCCATGCACATCAGTGCCATCATCTGCTCTACTTTCCAGAACTATGCATAGCTCAAATTTTCTCTTTCTCTACATTGTACCATCCTTATCATTGTACCATCACTCCTATGGAAGTAGTTTGTCAGTAAATCAACAAGTGTCTTTACTCTGCTTCTTCATCTCAATGGTTATTCCACTTATGGGTGTGCATTTTGAAAGCTGAGTATTTAGGCCTTCAATTTTTGATGTCTAACATGGGGTTAAGAGCTAGGCTCATCTGTGTCATTGTGAAATGAGCTCCACAAAGGATTGTTTGTACATCATGAAGTATACAAAGTCCAGGATGTGTAAAATATTTAGACCAGTGATTACTTGAATATAAACTGCCATATAAGAAGTGTTAGATTAAATGTATGGGAATTAGACAACTCCTTGAATGTATCTCATTACTCTGAGAGAACAGTAATATTTACACAAGTATTTCTAGGATATACACAGGAATTGGTTGGCCATCATGTTAGTGTATGGAGATACTTTTCCCACCTTTTAACCCTCAAATTAGCCTACTTTCTGGAAGGGCTACTCCAGTTCTTGACTATCAGGCAATTTATTTCTATCAAAATGTGCTTTTCCAAAAATTTTAGTAGCAATTGTGTGTACCAGTGGAAAATGAGCAAGGCTGAGTAATCAATGATCCCAGTTTTCAGAGTTCTTCATGTTTCTCATAAATTATGTGTGAATTAGCCTGAAAGCAACAGGGTTGTAGTGTTAGATTTGTTTTTTTGTAGTACTGGAAACATTGGATGGGTAATCTCCCAGAATGTTGTGTAGACACTTGCAGGTAATAAGGATTGCCTTAAAATGGAGATACACTTTTCTTGTCTAACCTCAAAATTAGGCTATTTTCTCAGTGTGCTATTACACTTGGCTATCAGGCATTTCAGCCCTGACTGAGCTTGCTCTCCCACACCTTACTGTAATTATGGTGGGCAATGGTGTCTGAAAAATGATGAAGCTGCTGAAGCGACTTATAATTCCAGTCTCTGTGTTTTTGTGTGTGGCCTCTTTGAATCCTTACAACTAGCACCCCAGGGTGTAGCTGTAGATGTGGATTCAAACATCCCCTGACAGTGAGAGAAAGCTTTTACTCAGACACTAGGCCCCCTCAATGCAGTTGCTATGGGAGATGATGCATCCTGATTATGTTGTTGCCATGGTAACTCATGCACTTGACCCAATCTTGTTCAGAGTTGACACACCAAAGGCAGGTTTTCCTCAACTGCCAGAACCATCTCCTTTGTCAGTTCAGAGTGAGAAAATAGAGCCAAAAGAAATATTTTCCCAAAGATATTCACTATCCCATAACTTATTTGTCTCCATAACTAGGAAAGGATTGCTTCTGGAATTTTTATTATTGTGTGCAGGTGTGTACACATATAAGTTATTTGTATAATGGGGATGTACTGCATAGAGTGCACCAACAGATCCCACTATTGAAGGAGCAAGCACCCAGATCCAATATTATTCATGATTAGAATGAACTAGAATAAAGATAGCTAGAGCTTACTGAGAACTTTCTATCTGCAAGGCTCTGCTCCTTCTCTTTATAGGTAACTTGATTATCACTTATTATTCAATGTATAATACACATAAAATAATAAATGCATGAGATAATGCGCATGAATCACAACAGATAGGAACAGAGAATAGATAACCTGACGGGTGAGAAATAGTTTTTTAAAGTAATTTTAATTTACCTTCCTGTTGTTATGAGTAGATTTTATCATCTTTTTATATATTCAATTAGAGGCCTGGTGCATGAAAATTGTTCGCAGGTAGGGTCCCTAGGCTTGGCTGGCTGTCAGTTTTCCCGCCTCCCTGCCTCCCCACCTTCCCACCTCCTCCTTCCCTCGCTCCCTCAGGATTCCATCGCTGCCACAGCTGGTCACTCACCATGTTAGGCGCCACCCCCTGGTGGTCATCATATGTCATAGCAAGTGATTGAACTCACGGTCTCCTGGTCAAACTCCCAAGGGGACAATTTGCATATTAGCCTTTTATTATATAGGATGGTTATTTGTATGTGCTTTTAAAAAATGTTTTTGCCATTTTATGTAATGGATTTATGGTCTTTTTTACTTGTCTTTAAAGATCACTTGTATTTATTTGGGATATTAGCTTACTTTTTATATATTTTAAAAACATGTTTTCCAAATTGCTTGTTAGATTTTTGTTTGTCTTTTTGTTTTGTGTTTTGTAGCTAACTGATTTATCCATTTTCCTTTGTGTTTGGATTTTGATTCTTTGATAAAAAAATTCTTTCCACAACTCCAGATTATTACAAAATCTACTTGTATTCTCTCTACTATAAAGAGCTTCATTTTTTTACATATAGGTCTCTAAACCATTTGGAGATTCTATTTTTATTATATGAATTATGGATCAAATTTTACCTTTTATCAAATGGCTAATCAGTTGTCCCAACAGCATTTATTAAAATGTTTATTTTTTTCTTAGTCATAGGTGATGCCACTTTTTTATATAGTAAGTTTCAATATGTACATGGGTATATTTCAAATCTCTCTATTCTGTTTCATTCAAATGTTGGTATTATATGGTTTTAATTATCAAGATTTTATAGAATGTTTTATTCCTGGTTGGGCCAGCTTTCCCTCATTGCTATTTTTTTTCATAGTGTGTTATAGCATTCTTGCATGTTTGTTTTTTCCTCCAAAGAAACGTTAGAATTAACCTGTCTTTCTTTAGGAAAAAATAAAACAACTTGCTGGTGTATTATTTAAATTAAGAATGCATTAAAAAGAAATAAATCTTACCTTTGAGATAGCATGGATGGACCTGGAAAGTATTATGCTAAGTAAAATAAGCCAGTTAGAGAAAGACAACATATAATTTCCAATATATATGGAATTTAATGAGCAACATAAACTAACAAATAAAATAGAAACAGACTCATAGATTCAGAGAACAAACTGACAGCTGTCAAGGGAGGGTGGGTGAAAAAGTGAAGGGATTAAACAACAAAAACAACAGAAAATCTCAAGACATCAGCATATTGATTACCAGAGAGAAAGAGGGGGTAGTGGGAGGTAGAAGAGGATAAAAGGGAGATAAATGATGATGGAGGGAGACTTGAGTTTGGATAGTGAACATATACTACAACATACAGATGACGTATTATATAATTGTACAACTGAAACCTGTATAATTTTATTAACCATCTAGGGGCACAGTGCATGAATTCATGCACCTTGAAAGGAACTGTGGGCTGTGAGGTTGTAGTGGGCACAGAGGTGGGTCTTGGCCTATCCTCTGCATCCCCACCCAGCCCCTCCAGCCACACACCCCCTTCCCCTGTCAGCCAACAGCCCCTCTCCTGCCACTGCTGCTCCCATGTGCTGAGAGCACCAACCCCACTTATACCCACTGATGGCGTGGAGCAATTGGGGCTGGTGCTATTAGTGGGTATGAGTGGCAGCTGCTGCCCTGATCACCCCTCAGGAGCAGGGGGAGGTGGAGAAGC